TCGCTCAGTGTCTCTTAGGTATTCTCTTCTGATTTAAATCTTTATCTGTTTTAGAAGAGTAGCTGCTATTGTAGCTGTGTAGGCTGTTGGCACAGTGGGCTTGATATATGTTAAAAAGTATAATTATGTTTTGGTTGGTTTTTTTCCCCCCCCCCGGATGTTCTGAGGATAGGTGATACATCACTCCTGCACCACAGATACTTCTATGCCGAGATTTTAGTAGTTTTAAATAAATCATGCCTCCATGCTGATAATGCTCTCTTTTCACACTCAAACCAAAGAAAGAAGGCATGGGTGGTGTGTGTATTAAATTACACTGAAAGTGTAACTAAGTTTTTCTTTCAGAAAAAAGTAAGTGGGGGGATGTTCTGCAATGGGAGGGAGATGGAAACATTGGTAGAAGATAGAAGATGATTTCACGTTTGGATAGGGAAGCTAATGCAGTAAAATGAGTAGATGTTTGCAAAACGTGATGTTTATTTATTGTGGTCAAGCTAAAACATTAGGAAGAACAACTTTACTGTGTTAATTGTATGGTATAGGTTTTTTTTAGCAATTGATTGGCAAATGCACACTTCTCCCTGGGAAATCTAAATATGCCAGATCAGGTTCTTAGGTTGATTTTTGTTTGTCTCGGTAAGTGTGCATGCAATTCATGACTGCTTGACGCTGCTGTGTGCAGATGATACTAGGAACCTAGCTTCAGTACAGAATGAATGAGATGAGGAGCTTTGGCTTCCCTAATATAAAAAGCCATAGTGTCACAAAAACGTGATACTTTCTTCCATTTCTAAAGTATAAAACTTGCTAACTTTTTGTTACTTTCACCTTTTGCCTGATATGCTGCAGTTTCTAACTTCTTGCAGGTGATTTTTCAGCATAAAGAAAAAAAGAATTTAACAGAACTTCTCAAAATAGCTACGTCTTCCTGAAATGTTTTAAGACCATTAAAAGAAAATTGGATAAGTCACTGAATTATGGGAAAGAAAAACTCTCTGTTTCCAGTGGAGATGGAGATTAACAACTGAATCAGAATTAGGGTATCTATTTGTGATCAAATATCGCAGTCTCAGGGTAAAGAAATCCCAAACAAGACAAAGTACTCCATGCAGGCATTAGCACGGTAATGGACAATAGAGGAAATATTTAAATACATCGTATCTTTGCAGTGAGTCTGGGGTAGAAAGGTATGATGTGCACGAAAACAAAATGCCTCGTATATCTAAAGAAAGATGTGCTTTCTATTGAAAGTACAATGTGATAAAGCCAGAACCCTTAGAGTTGTAAAATTTGTCTCTCTGAAGAAGGAAGGTATGACAGATACAGCGTGGAAGGTGGTGTTTTCACTGAGTATGCATTTTAAGAACATGCTGTTTAACCTACGCTTCTAAATCACTTCCATTGTGATTTTAAAAAATTCAGACTGTACTTCCTGGAGTAGTATAATCTTTACATAATGATATCCATACTCAACTCTATATGAAATGGCTTTAGATTTGTGTGAGTGGTATGATTTAACTCTGACACTTGGGGTTTGGGTTTTTTTTGTATTAAGGTCTTAAAATGCAAGCTGTTGGAAGCCTGGGAAGTGTGTGCACTAGACATCTACTTTTCCTCTCATCCTCTGATTACCTGCAGAAATGACAATGTGTAACTCCTGTAAGAATATTCTCCTGGTGTGCTTAGAGCTTCTCAGGAGGCAACGAACGGGGTTTTACTGGGTTTATGGAGCATTCATGGGTACTTACTTGTTTTGCTCAGGCAGGAGTAGGCAGGTACTTAAGAACAAGGAAAAAAGGTGTTCCTATGGGAGTGGGGGAAACACACAGGCTGGAATGGGATGCCTTCACAGCAGAGTTCCCATATGCTGCAGGAGGAAACTGGCTTACATCACTGTGATGTCTTACTTTGAAATGAGAGCCTTGTGTCTCGGTACCCTGCATGATAAGAACAGCTTTCTTGCCCAAAACATGCTTTATAAATTGGGGGGGGCACCCTTACAGACTAGATCTAGAAACAAAAATGAAAACCTGTATTTCTGCGAGGTATTCCCTGCACTGAAAAGAAAAGCTACCAAAGCTCGGGAATGAAGAGAAAACTGCCGAGTGGCACTAACACAGTTGGAGTGAAGAGAGAAATGTAAAACCCCTGAGACGTCTGAGAAAGTGAGAAGTTGCTTTGTGGTTATGCCGCCTGCCTGCACTCTCAAGAAGTGGAATATAGGTGTTTTATACCTCTGCTTCCCCAGTATCTGTACAATATTTAAAACATATAAGCAATATTTTCCAGACTGATCTGAAGCCAATACAGTGTAAAAGTGTTTTTTCAGGAGGGAATGTGTGTCATCAGCAGAGAACTGACGGGGTCCAGGTTTGCAACTTTCTTTAATTCTGGGACGCTTTGGATTTTAACTCTTTCCTCACCCTCCTGAGAGCAGAGATTTCGCTAGCTGTTCTGACATGCTGAAATGGCTGGAGTCAGGTTAAGTCCTAGCACAGAGGGAGCTAGGATGGCATAAGTAAGAAAGATGATACTCAGCCCTTTGTGCTTCTCATTCAAAGGGGTCATCTTGCAGAGCTGAGTAGTGCTGCTGGTAGAGGTGTGAGCTGAGCAGCTCTTCGTCCTTCGGCCCTGCAGAGCTGGGGAGAAGGGAAGAGAATTTCTGGTACTCTGGTTGTCCAGCTTTAATAGGAAGTGGCTAAAGTTCCTCCAGTAGCTCGGCTTACCTTTATACGCCTTCTCCTCTTCCTGAGAGCCCTCAGAAGATGAGGACAATGTGCTGCTCAAACTTGTGCTTTCAAGAAAACTGTCCCAGAATTATGAAGAAAACCAGCTCTGCTTCTCCAAAAAACACTTGCCTTGTTGCTGGAACTTCTTCTTGTGGTAGATCTTGCCTTAATTTTTCTATTGGCCTACGGGTCTGAGAAGTGTTGCGGTTCGAACAAGAAGCTGAAGAATTCCTCTGAGCCTGAAATCTGTTAATCTTTGAATTTCATTGTACCAGGGAATGACAAAACTTCGAAGCCCATAGTGAGTAGAATTGTTTCCCTGCTACGTAAGCGAGCATCATTCAGCTCATTACCTTGGAGCTGAACAAGAGTAGACACAAAAGACTTAAACTGATGGAGAGTTTACCATGTGCTTGGCAAGGTGTAGTTGTATTTTATTTCCGACCTGTGACTTGCAACTATTTTGTCCTTTTTTTGCCTATTTTAGGTGAATTTAGAAGTCTTCTATGTAAATTCTCCGGACAGTGACCAGGTTGCTGCCTTTATATGCTTTGGTAATTAATTTGGATTAAGCTCGTAGATTCTTGTTGCAAAGAGGTTTCCCAGGCCTTCCATTTTTGTAGCTGCTTTCAGTTTCTTTTTAAAACAAAAGCATCAGAAGTGCATGTGGTGTTCTGGGAGCGTTCTCTTCGTGAAGATCATGTCTCTCCTTTCTGCTGCTTATCTGTCCCGTCAAGGATTGCATTGATCTTTCTGATCCTAGAACGTATTTGGAGGGTCTGTGTTCTCTCACTCTTCTTCAGTTATGAAAAATGTCTTTTAGACTATGATTTTCCAAGATAGAGTACACTGATTTCAGTCACTCCTTCCCCATACATAAGGTTCCAGCGGACTTTCCTCTTAGAGTCCAACTTTGGTTTTATTCAGGTACATTTGGCAGCTGTTTGAGGCTGTTATGCATTAATTCAAGAGGGTGAACCTGTTCAAAAGAAAAAAAAAAAGAGACACCACAAAAAACCTTGTTCATCCTAGTGATGATTTAGGTGCTGACAAGGCTGATGAATGTTACTGGTGAACTGCTCATTTCCGATGAGTTTATGATTCTTCTGTGTACACATACTTACACTTACTGGAGACAGATCTCGGCCTCCTGACTGAGTCAGCTTGTAGCAGGTTTTACAAAGGTAAATTATTGTTCCAGGCTCTAGATTTCTGTCATGTGAAATAGGTCCCATGTCAGTGAACTTACCCGAGATTCAGTCTTCTCTGTATGACTTCAAAGATCTTTGCCCTGGTCCTCTTAAAATGTCTGTGACTTTTTCTTTTGACAAACCTACTCTAGAGCTGTAAGTCGAGAGGGTTTTGCATCTTTTCGGCACTATGCTTCGGGAGAATAAGATGGAATCTTCCCTTTCCGTGCTGGGTTCATATTTCTTACTGATGTTTACATTAGCTTCCTTATCTCTTGGTGATGCCAGTTTGGGGGGGTTTTTTTGTAATTTTTTGAGGGTATTGCTTTTGGTTTTTGGCTCATTGCATTTGTGTTGATTTCTTTTGAGAGTCTTTCAGGGCTGTTAATGCATGCAAATGTGCGTTTTCCGATGACTTAGTTCTGCTTCTTTGAATTTCCTTTAACTAGCTTCATGATGTTTATGTTCCTTCAGGATACTTCAAAACTTACTTATCGGGTGTTTGTCTATGTTGATCTTATTGAATCTGCCCTTTTCTCTATTAGAACCCCTTTTTGCTCTCTTGAAAGAACTTCTTCTGTTAGCTTTCCGTGCTGACAGTGCTACTTTGAAGGGGGTTTTGGATCAGTGACAGCTTGAAGAATTCTGCTAGCTTTGTACTCGAGAGCTAAGGCTCGGAACTGTTAGATATTCCCTGCAGAGACACAGACTTGCAAAGTAAGCATCTCTTTCTTGCTAAGAGTTACTCATTAAAGCATAAATCTTTTCCTCTCCCCTACCCTCCCCCAGCCTTCCACAATTCTTCCCATAACTGATTACACGGTGTATGGTGCATGGTGGAAATAGAACATCATGTGTATGCTTTTCCCCAGCTGAGCCTGGAGAACGTAAAATGGATAAAAAGTGCAGCACACAGATTGAAAACTGAAATGGATAGCTCCACTTTGATACTTCTAATGACTTGAATATGAACATCATCTGTATTTTAATGTATTTGAGGTTCAGATTTATACCTTAGGCTCCATCTGACAAATATGGCAAACTACAAGACTTGAGATTAAAAGACTGAATTATAGCCATTATGAAAACATATGTTGTTGCTTTGCCTTGCATAAACTGTACATAATTCTCTCTAATGGTACCTTGTATCAAAATGAAAAATAACTTCATTTGCTCATTCACATAAGTTGTTTGCTGCTGTGCTCAGCAGTTTTCTGTAGTGTCCGTGCCTCTAACCCGAGATACATTGCAACAGGTAAATAACCATTATTGCAGTGTTGTCCTTTTGAAACAACTTAGAGCTGTCAAAATTTCATTTGCTTTCTAGATTAGAGCATCAAACAGGAAGAAGGGAATTGTCTGTTACTGAAAATGGTGTAAGCTCCTGAGAAACTCAGATGCACTGAACATTTTTATCTGTTGGGCCCATACAACGTTCGAGGAAATGAGATATTTCTATCCTAATTTGGGAAGCTTGGCAGTGCCAAACAATTTTTTTTTTCCGTCTTTGACAAAATCTTTAAAAATAAAACTCTGTCCACATGATGACAGTAGTGCTGCCTTTGATTAGAAGCACAGAGAAGAGCCGAATATGATGAATGTTGATCTAAAGATGACTGAATTCAATATCAAATTACTTATCTGTAAATGTATTCGTCTTCTCAGATATGTAATTTACAGTTGTAACTGTTGTATGCTCTCTTTGACATATTGCCTTCTTCTTTCAGGGTTGAATCCCACCAGATTTCGAATAGGTGACCAAGAGTTTGATTCTTTGCCATCTTTACTGGAATTCTACAAAATACACTATTTGGACACTACGACCTTGATAGAACCGGTTTCCCGATCCAGGCAGAATAGTGGTGTTATCCTCAGGCAGGAGGAAGCTGAATATGTGCGAGCTCTCTTTGACTTTAATGGAAACGATGAAGAAGATCTTCCATTTAAGAAAGGAGACATACTGAGAATCCGGGATAAACCTGAAGAGCAATGGTGGAATGCAGAAGACAGCGAAGGAAAGAGGGGAATGATACCTGTTCCTTACGTCGAGAAGTATAGACCTTCCTCTGCTTCAGTATCTACTCTGATTGGAGGTAACCAGGATAGTTCCCACCCACAACCACTGGGTGGGCCGGAGCCAGGGCCCTATGCCCAGCCCAGCATCAACACTCCGCTCCCTAACCTTCAGAATGGCCCTATTTATGCCCGGGTTATCCAGAAGCGAGTCCCTAATGCCTACGACAAGACAGCCTTGGCTTTGGAGGTACATAATGGGCAAAACTTAGAAAGAAGAGATCTGTTCAAGGGATTTCCCTTTCAATCACATTATAGTTTTGTAGGAATAAGAAAGGGAAAAGCATTGTAATACTGGTTTTACATCATGATTAATAAGTTACGGAAAAAGGCTTTTTTTTTTTTTTTAAATTAATAAGTGACTAGAGTCACTTGTAGACTAGAGTTTGATTATTGTAGCATGTTTAGGTTACTGAACCAATATCATGTCTTTTGTCGAACATCACTAACATAAGTGTTTCCCCATCCGTGTTTTCACTTCTGAAGTCTTTATTTTTGGGGGGAGGGAGTGGGAGCAGTTCATAAGTTGTGTGTCTGAACCTGTGTTCGCTGTTGCTTGCCTCACCCCAATCTTTAAAACGTGTGCTGGGTTGTTTGGGTTTGGTTTGGGTTTTTTTTTCAGTCTGTCAGCAGCTTAAAAGCAATCAGTGGAAACATTGATTGTCACTTTAAAATGACACTGACTGAGATGATGATGATGATCACACATAGGGTTTTATCGTAACATCTTGACCTCAAGCAGATTACTTTGGTTTTTAGTTTGTGAAGCAGGAACATACATTCCAATTCATTAGGGAGGTCTCGTGTAAAGCAGTGATTGATGGAGCATGATTTGTAGGAAAGCGGTGAGTTTCCCTAAGGTTGATTCACTTCCTGATAGGATCAAGTACTTGTACGTGCCCTTTTTGATTTCCCCCCCCCCCCCTTCAAAAGGAGACGAGAGTGCTCTATCTCTACACATCAGATAGTTATCCCCCAAGTTACATTTGAGGAAATTGAGACGAAGGTATTCTCAGTGGCAGACCTTTGCCTTAGGATGATATGTAAATTGTATCCTTTAATCTAGGCTGTCTTTGAGCTAAAGGCTCTGGAATTTCCTGATACCTAATTGACTTCCTGTTTGTATAACATTTTAAGTACTTGGGAAAAAACAGTTTCTGTGCTGAGTCAGAGCATCTCCTCTTCACTCTCAAATACTTTGTTTAATCGTGCATAGCACAAAAGCACTTCAGTGATGTGGCAACTCTAGGTATGTGTCTTCGGTACAGAACTGGCAAATGCAGCGCATTCTACAGATGCGACCATTGATGTACAACCTGGGAGATGTCAGATTTTTCCCCGTTGTAGGTAAAAATTTGTCTAGGGAAGCAATGTAAATATACTCCGAGTCACTATACGTTCTGTTGTATTTCTGAATCAAGAGAGCCAGGATACAGAATGTAAATTTTTGGGTTAAGAAGCAGGTATAGAGATTTATGCCAACTCACCACGTTTTGGGGAAACGTGAAGATTTTAACCTTCAGACTTTCATACAGCCTAAAATGCTGTCTCTTTC